ATTTGTACTTTAAAAGCACGGAGAGATCGCGATTGCACACAGTCTGCGCACAAGCAATATCGGAGTGAGAGGACAGGCTGTTCATTTGTATAAGTTAGGCCAATTTGAGAGCCCGCATCCAGTTTTCTGCGATTACATGACTGTGTTCTCATGTTACAATAAAGCGCTCTCGCCACATTTGTCTGCTGCAGCGGCGGCTTTTCCCGGTTCAGATATCAGGGCTTCTATTGCTCCATTTACGATCGGATATCTTTATTGGCTACTGAAGTGTCGTGTAGCGTTTGAACCAATCAGACACACCATTTTTCATTTGATTTAACAAATCAGTTATTCATTAGATTAACAAACGTTCACAGACCCCTCACCCAATAAACATACTGGGTGCCAAGTTGTCTGTGAACAGGGCCCAGGACTGTAGAACTGTACAGTAAGAAAGTTATTTACCTTAATCAGGAAATTAACGTTCTTAGAATTGACAGACAGTTGACCCTGAGAGGTCAAGTAAATATCTACAGCGGATCTAAATATTTATAATTAATTATAACTAGTTATGATTAATTATTCATATTTCCCCATGAGCTGATTCGCTACAGCCGTCAAAGGTTTAATATCAATTCAAATTGTGGGCGTACTCAGTAACGAACTATGATTTAAAAGTAACGAAGTAGATTCTTTTGCTTAATTTGTACTTAAGTACAAGTAAAAGTACAGCTTTAAAAATATACTCAAAAAAGTACAAGTACCCGAAAAAACTACTTAATTACAGTAACGTGAGTAGTTGTAATTCGTTACCTCCACCACTGCATTTTTGTTTCTCAGAAAAACAATGCTACATCCAGTTATTCTACTTTGAAAAAGTGCATTCCGTGTCAGAAAGTCTTTTTTTTTTGGTCTGTGGGATTCCGCCCACTTGCAGTTTACCCAATAATATTTTGACAGCATGGGTTGCAAGTTTGCAGAAAACACAGCATACTGCAGCCATGGAAGTGAGCAAACTAACTGGGTCGCAGATTCTACCCAATCTAAAAAGCCTCAGTATCCACCTAAAAAGCTCTATGACCACAAGCATACTAAAACTCTTGATAAATCAACTCATCAGTTTACAGTGTAAGGTTCGTCGCCCTCCAATGTCAATTGCGCTTGTTTGTGTTGCATGCCATCAATCTGACAACCTGTGTGAATATTCAGTCTGAGGAGGAGGGGACGGGAGAAACAATATCTTGAATTTAGACAGCAGTATATTTCAATCACACTGTCATTATTATAGACTGCACCTTTAAATGCAGTTAGCTGAACTTTAGAGTTAATTTGTATATTGGTATATTGCACATTTGTAATGATTATGTTGCTATTTAGTACATTTAAAAGTCCTCCTGTAGTCAATAATTTTATGATCTTTGATCATATTTAAACATTTTTTCATATTTAAAAATAATTTATTGATGTCTTAAAATGGCTTAAATGTATCTCTACACCCTTAGCTCATTGAGTATACGCAGATTTGTGAATATGCAAATTAGTCTACGCCTCCACTCAATGGCACCAACGCAGCCCTGCACTACTTTCACTCAGTTGGCAAAAGTAAATGCTATAGTAGACTGCAGTAGACTGACCGGCTATTGCTTTCAAGAAATGCTATGTCTTTGATTGGCTATATTACTCAACCCTGCAAAAACATGTTGTAAATAGAAACCGTTGACCAGATATGAAAAGGCCTGGCCCACATGTTGACAGGATTGGTTAAATATGTGTGATGTTGGAGGGGCCATTTCAAACTGCGTTTTTGAGACTGATTTTGGTACACCACCTTTTTAAGGAGAATATTCTCTGCAGTGGTGTTGACTGATTCATTTGCACATGGTTTGTCTTTAAGCAAATACAGAATCAACAGATAGACATGTAAACAACAGTAAAAACTTGATTTTCACCACAGGAACTTTAAATGTAACACACACTTGAATAACACAGTTCAGTTAAAATTATAATCAAGTAGTCTACTTTACATATGCTTTATTATGCTAGCCAACACATCAAAAAAGTGAACTGACAAAAGATTATTAAAACACACACTACCTGTCAAAAGTTAATAATTGGAATAAATAAGATTTTAATGTTTTTAAAAGAAGCCTTATGTTCACCAAGGCTGCATTTATTTAATCAATAATACAAACAGGAAGGTTTTAAAATATTAATAATTATTAACTATTTTAAATATTAACAATTTAAAATAGCTGTTTTCTATTTAAATAAATATTAAAAGGTACACATTATACGGTTATACAACTCCATTTACTCAACTCAGTGTCACATGATCCTTCAAAAATAATTCTGATATGCTGATTTGCTGCCAAGAAACGTTGTTTCATATTATTAATGTTAAAAGCATGTGACGGTACATGTACAGCAAATTAATTCACATGTGAGGTTGTTTACCTTATTATACAGGGGTCGCATGGTTCTTTC